CTGCAGCTGAGTGGGGCTGGAGGTCCCTCACTCATCTGCTGGGGGCTTCTGGGGACCCCCGGCCACCCTTGGGGTCAGTGTGCCCATCACAGAGCCCGGGGTGAAGCTCTGGGGGGGGCCTCAGCACCAAAATGGTCTTCTGTGGGTGAAGGAAACTCATTTGGGGTCACCAGAGCCCCAGGTGCACTGTTCCTCTCCGGGGTGGCGGCTGCTCCGTGCCCTCAGCAGCGTGGATTCACAGAATGGTTGGGAAGATTGGGAAGGACTGCTGAGATTGGTGAGCTCTGCGTTCTCTGTAGGAAGGCTCTCAGTGTAGATTGGAGGAGGACATTTTGCTTTCCTGCTGGAGATGCGCGAGGGCTCCTCGGCTGTTGGGTGGCGGATGGACAGACCAGACCAAGTGTCCACCAGAGCCCAGCTGAGGCCGTGGAGAATTTTGTTTGCAACGCATTGCTCTGCACAAAGCTCTCAGTCACAAGGAGAAGGGGACAAAGGGTTCCCTGTTCCTCCCGTCCCACTGGGTGCAATTCCAACAGTTAAAAAGCAAATGTGAGTTGTTTGTCTCTGTGAATATAAAGCTTCCCCAAGCGTGGCTGTGTTCTGGCTGGGAGCGGGGCGGCTGGCTCCGCTAATGACTGTGTGCTCGTTTGGAGCTCTGCTCACTGCAAATGGGAGCCAGTGTGAGCCAGAAGCCTTTCCCTCTACCCCTGCTAGGGGGACGTGGGATGAGGAGGGGACAGTCCTGGGCAATGACCCCATTTGGGGCAGCCCCGGGTGCAGGGCACACACTGGCAGTGTGGGGGGGCGCCAGAGCTCGGGTTGCTGATCTCCTGGTGTTGGTTCCCAGCAGGAAGGGGATGGGTGTGCATGGATGATGGTGCTGGGCTGGGCCAGGTGCCCACAGCCCTGTAGCGAGTGTGGGGCTGGAGGAGCCCTCAGCACGTGGGTATATCTGTGCTGTCTGCGTGGAGCAGCAGTGGGGCCACTGAGGCAGTGTCAGTGCTGATGGCACCCGGCGCTCTGTGGCCGTGGGCAGCTCAACCCCGAATCTGTGGGAGCTGAGCTGTGCTCTTTGGCAGTAGTGGAGGACATTGTGCCCCCGGCACGGGGTGTGGGGTGGGCAGAGTGCGGGGCAGGTGGGCTGTGGGGCTGCACTGGGGCTGCATTGGGGCGTTCTGCTTCTTGCTTGCTGTGAGAATGCTTCCCCACCGTTCCTCCCGGTGCCATGAGGACCCCGGTGCTGGCGGTGCTGGGATGTGGGATGGGGGGCAATGCGAAGCCCAGCTCGATCTTCTGGGTGCAGCCACAGGTGGGCACCGGACCCCCAGCACCCAAAACCTCCCTCCAGGCAGACCGTGGCAACGTCCCCAGATGTGCGGCACATCTGGCGGGCACCGAAGCAGTTAAGAGAAGGGCCGACTTGTGCCCTAAGAAACCCGCAGCTCCTTCCTTAGATCCCGTGAATCGGCCCATTGCCTGGGTCGGATAAAGCCCCATTGATCCACGCTCTCCCCACAGCTCGGAGCAGCTCGGGGCTCTGTGGCAGCACGGCACTCTCCCAGCTTTTCTCTTCCTCCGCTGCTGAAGCAGAATCAGGTGAAATCGCCATGGCAACGAGCAGATGACAGCGAGTCTTGTTGCCTTGGAAATGAGACAGGGAAAAAAAAAAAAGACCCAAAAAAACCCACCCAAAAGAGCCATCTGGAATTCTGAATTTCCACCATGTCCGCCCCGTGCCTTGCGCTGGGTGTGGAGCAGCACCATCTGCCCCCAGGACTTTCGCTTTGCTTTTGTCCCCCTTTTCTGGTGTGGATAATTTTGCTATGGATCCCCTCGAGCTGCTGGTGGCTGCTGGAGGCTCAGGGTACCAGGGCTGAGCGCAGCCGTGTTGTGGGGCACACACAGGTTGCACTGTGGGGGAGCACAGAGCTATGGGGAAACTGAGGCGCAGTGCTGACCGACCCTGCTCAGGGAGCAGCCCTGGCTGCAGGACAGCCTGACCAGCGGGGGGATTTCAGGCAGTCCTGGGCTGGAGGTGTGACAGTCTGAGCAGCTTGAGCTCGTCCTGATGGAGACAGAGCTGCGTTGGATGTGCAGGTGGGGTGGTTTGGGGCCAAGCATCCATTGAAAGAATAACCCACAAATGGGCCGGGGGCCCGGGCTGGATCTCTCCAGCGTGTTCGCTTGGAAAGTAGTGTATGGGAGAGACCCAATTAACTAGATTTATGGCTGCTCCAGCCTGAGAAAATCTGAATCCCTTTTAAAAGCTTGGCTCGCTGCAGCCAGACCGGGTTCAGGCTCCAGGTCTCCCAGCCCTGCCCTCATTAGGAGGAGCCATTCACTTAGCAGCAGCAGTGCCCCAGAAGTGCTGATTCGGCTGAAGTCCCATCCCGGCTGTCACTGCTGCACTGCTGCTAATTTGCTGCTCCTGCCTGCTGCCAGCAGGGAGCTGGCACGTGCTGCGGGGCTGTGGGGCTGCAGGGATGGTCCTGGTCATGAAAACAGGCATGGTTATGGGCAAGGTTATGGGACTGATTGCAGGTATGGGACTGGTCATAGGTGTGGGGCTGGCTGTGACTGTGGGGATGGCCATGGCTTATGAGATGGCTCAGACTGTGCCTTGCTGTCCCTGCCAGCTTTGCCCACTGCCACCCCTCTGTTTGACCCCACATTGGGGCTGAGCCCAGGGCACACTGAGATGCATCCATCCTCATCCCTGCGGCCGGTGTCACCCCGGGGTCACGGGGAAGGAAAGAAGGACTCATTAAACCACAGGGAGAAAGATGACGACTTGTGACCGCCGCCTGCCCAGCAGCATGAATCAGAAGGGAATGTAAGAATGGGGGATAAAGCCACGTTACTCCACGTGGAAACATTGCAGTCCTGCGCTGCAGGCGGGAACCTGCAGGGTCCCGGGTTCCGCTCTGCCCCCAGCTGCAGCGGGTTCTGGGTTGGAGGCAGCAGAGGAAGAGGCTGTGAAACGCTCCGAAGGGGCAGCAGCCATCTGCGGGCCGGGCAGCGCCCTGCGGCGGAGCAGCGCCCCGAGGCACAGCCCCCATTGCGCACGCAGCTCTGCTGCCCTGCGCCCGTGTGCGGGGCTGGCTGCCACGTGGCCCACATGTGCGCATCGTCACGGCGGCCAAAGCACATGGGGAGCACGTGGGGCTCGGAGCCGCCGGCCCAGCGGGAGGCGATGGCCGTGTGCGGAAACGCGCTGTCACGAGCTGCAGGAGCTGCGGGAGCTGATGGTTTCCTCATTCCTGGATGTTCCTGGCCACGTCTGCAGTGCCCGGCTATGGGATGCGGCTGCGCCCCGTTGCGATGGTAGAGCAGCTGGCGTCGCCGGGTGAAGGAAGTCTGCAATGTGCGGATGGGGGTTGGGGTGAGCCGGGCGTTCTGCCTCAGTTTCCCCACCACAATTTGTTCGCAAGGACAGAGCTGCAGGGGGTGGGGAGAGCTGCTGGGGCGGTGGCAGGAGGGCAGGAGGAGGGCTGTGGGGGCAGCAGGAGGAGGGCTGTGGGGGCAGCACGGCGGGGCACAGGGCCGGGGTTGGGGCTGCGCTTCTGAGCTGGGATGGAGGAGACGCGCCGAGCAGGAGCTCTGTGGACACGTCCCTGGTGGGCAGTGAGCCCAGCCCAGGCTTTGTGCCCGACTGACCCCGCGGCTGAGCCGGCCCCGCTGCTCTGCGTGCCGGCAGCTGCAAACATCTGGCTGCAGCAGCTTGCTAAATCGATGAGGAGAGGAATCCGGCGCGCCGCCGCCGTTCCCACACTGCAGCCCTTCCCGGAGCTCCGGTTTGGGCAGGGCTCAGCCGGCCCCTCGCCGACACCTGGGGCTGCGGTGCTGTCTCTGCCCAGGGGACGCGGTGCTGCCCCGAGTGCAGTGTGCGGAGGAGCCCTGCGTGTGTTCAGGTGAGCCAGCGTGCCAACCTGCCCCCCCTAGGAGGACGCTGGCTCCCTCTGTCCCCAGGTGCAGAGCAGGCTGACGGCTGCTTCTGCCCCACCGTGCCCCATCCATGCTGCGTCTGCAGCCCCCAGACCCCTCCTCGCTGCCTGCACATCCCCATCCCTGTGTGCCATGCTGGGTGCCCCACATTCCGGTTGTGGCTGGGGGCTCTGCTGGTGCTTGCCAGCCCCGCTCACCCCACTGTGCTATGGGCTTTCACCTGCTTCATTTAACCTGTCTCATCGCGGCTGCCTGTGCTCATCACTGCCTCGTAGGGTCGCACAGAAAGTGGGGCTGCACGGCTGGGGGTGGGCACACAGGGATGGGGCAGCACTGCTGAGCCTGTGGCACTGCCTGCAGTCCCAGGGATGCAGATCGTGGGTGCTGGGGATGAGGGGGCATGGGCCCTGCTTGTGTGCTGGCTGTGCAGTCCCCCCCTGGTCCCCACAGCTCTCCTGGTGCTGGTGCACAGCCCGAGGGCTGTGTGCTGTGCTGTGTTAGGAGGAGCCAATCCCCTCCTGCTGCCCTGGGAGATGTGGATGTGGTTCACTGCAGAGCTGTGAATCCAAAGGCTTGGAATCGGGGGTCACAGCCCAGCTGTTATGCACTGGGGTGTGCATCGGTGTGTCAGGGGCACATGGAGGGAGGAAGCTGTGCCCCAGGCTCAGCAGCGCTGTGCCAGCTGCCATAGAAAGGAGGTGGTGACCCCGTAGCTGTGTGTGCATCTCTGTGTGTGTGTGTGTGCATGTGTAAGCACGTGTGCACGCGGGTGTGCTAACAGGTATGTGCACATATGTGCATGGGGATGTGCTCCCAGCACAGCATTTCTGGAGCAGAAGTCCCTGTCCCAGTGGGGCTCTGCCCCTGCTGCCCGGGGTTCCCTCCTCCTGGTCCCTCTGCCCTGCTCCCAGGGAGGTGGTTTTAGCTGTGGTGCAGCAATATTAACGTTTGGATGCAGCATGGGAGCCCTTCCACCCTGCCCCATTCCCTCTCAGGTTGCAGGACGTGGTCAGAGGCACTTTGTCCCTCACAGCCTCCTCCTTGTGCCCCCACAGACCCCGAGTCCCAGAGGAAGAGGACGGTGCAGAATGTTCTGGACCTTCGGCAGAACCTGGAGGAGACCATGTCCAGCCTGCGGGGCTCCCAGGTGTCTCACAGGTGAGGACTCAGCCCCCCCATCCCCCTCCCCATCCTTCCTGGGGGCTCCAGCTGGGGGAAGCTGTGCCCGATGTCACCCCCAGCCCCGCGTTCTGCAGCCACGCCTGGAAGCCGGGCTTTGCAGCGAGCTGCGCTGGGCGAGCAGCTGCTCGCATCCTCTGGTTGTCTGTTGCCACCTCGTGGTCTCGCTGCGCGCTTCAGTTTTGTATTGGAAGGGACGAGCAGCAGCAGCTCGCCGCCCCTTCACCCCCCGCTGGCGCTCGCAGAGCGGCTCTGTGCTCCCCCGATGAAGAATTTCTCTCTGCTCAGCATTTCTTCATGCAGGAGCTCACCCAGATCTTTGGGATCCCCACTGCGCTTTGCACATCTCTGAGCTGAAGGGAGCGAAGCCCCGGGATTTACAGGCTGTGTTCCCTGAGCCTGCGATTTCCTGGCTTTACCTACTGCAGCTCTGCAGGCTCTGCTTGGTGTGAGAGCTGCCGTGCTGCCCGCGCCCCAGCAGGGCTGCTTTGCATTCCCTTTGCATTCCCTTTGCATTCGTCTGTGTCAGATTCCATCCAGCAGTGCTCGGCTCGGCGGCTCCTCAGCAAATCCTGTCAGCCACTCTTAGGGAAATAGGACAAGGATTACGGGCGATTAAATTAGCCTTGCTGGTGGGTTTTGTCCCTCCTTTCCTTGATGATTTATGATGTTCCCCCTGGCTGAGGGCTCAGACAGATCCCTGCCACGGAGACACCGATCAGTGCATGGTGGGCCTCCATGCTGGGTTCTTGCATCCCGTGGATCCCTGACACTGCCCTGTGTCTGTGTCGGGGTGCAGTGTTGTTGCTGGGAGGTTTCACATCCCTCGGGGTTTTCTGCTCAGTCTCTGCCCTGAGCTGCCAGCAGCACAGCTTTAAACAGCCCTTGTGCTGCCTACCAAGCCGGCTCCTTTCAGCTGCTTCTTGCAGTTCTGCTTTAACAAACTTCCCAGTTTTTATACAGTTCCCTCTTTTCAGTTCCACGCTGCAGTCGGGTTTGGCTTCTGCTGCTCATGCAGGAGCGCTGGGCCCACGTGGCTGCAGCAGGGGAGCGGCTCCTGATGGCAGCGTGGAGCTGAGCCGAGGGCTGTGGGCTCCCAGGAGCTGCTCCAAGAACGAATCATTTGTGGTGTCTAAGTTTAGTCTCAGCATCACTCCCTGCCATGCCCAAAATACACCCTGAGGTTGGGGGGCAGCGGGCCCCTGGGCTGGCCCAGAGTGGCACACACTCAGCAGCACGGTGGGGCTTTCCCTGGTGGATCCCTGTTAACAGGGCTCAGCACGACCCCGGGGGGCCCTGTGGGGATGGGGAGCTCTGTGCCGTGCCGAGGAGCTGCCCCTTTTGCTTTTGCAGCCTGAGCCCCTGCTGGGACGTGTGGGGAAATGGGCAGGGGTGCACAGCACGGCCTGTGGATGCTCGCGTCCCTCCACACCATCTGTACGGGGAATCCCCAGCAGTGGGCAAAGCAGGGGTCTGCTGGAGCAGGGGAAGCAGGGTCCTTGATCGTCCTGCAGCTCAGAGCACAAGGGGAGCAGCACCATCGCGCCCCACATCCTGTCCCACAGCCCCTGGAGGGACTGGGCACCACCAAGCACATCCATGCAGACGGCACGGCCGTCCTCGCGGGACCTGCAGTACGCGATGTGCGGGCTGTGCTGGCCGCTGGGGGTCGGTAACCCTCCGGGCGACCCTGACCCGCCCGGCAGCCCTCACCCTGACCCGTCCCCGCAGCTCCCTGGAGATGACGTGCTACGACAGCGACGAAGCCAACCCGCGCAGCGTCTCCAGCCTGTCGAACCGCTCCTCGCCGCTCTCGTGGCGCTACGGGCAATCCAGCCCGCGGCTGCAGGCGGGGGATGCGCCGTCGGTGGGGGGCGGCTGCCGCTCCGAGGGCACCCCCGGCTGGTACATGCACGGCGAGCGGGCGCATTACTCGCACACCATGCCCATGCGCAGCCCCAGCAAACTGAGCCACATCTCGCGACTGGAGCTGGTGGAGGCGTTGGACAGCGACGACGTGGAGCTGAAGTCGGGATATATGAGCGACAGTGACCTGATGGGGAAAACCCTGACGGAGGACGATGACATCACCACGGGGTGAGTGCCCGGATCGGGGGCTGTTAGCAGAGCAGAGGGCTGATAAGGAGCAGCGTGGGTAGGGGCGGGGGCTGGGCCGATGGCTGGGTTTGGTGACCCTGGGGGTCTTTTCTGACCGCGATGCTTCAGTGGCTGTGTGAAAAGCATGCAGCAGCTCTGTGTTCAGAATTGCTCCCCCTGTTTCCACCGGTGGATCTGAGCACTGGTGGCACATAGTGGGACCGGTGGGATGGGATCCCAGCAAGAGCAGGGCACCAAGGTTTTGATGTCGCTGGCTGGCACCATGTTGTCCCCTCGCTATGGGTCCCCCCAGACCTCCATCCCCCCACCCCAGGGCATCTCCAGCCCAGCACTTTGTGTTTCACTCCCGCTGAGCTGGTGAGGTGCCCCTGGCTCTGGCGGGGCTCCAGGGCTTCAGCATATTGCAGGTTTCCTGTTTCAGTGCACGAGAAAATAAATAACACCAGCATTTGAGTTGTCCCAGAGCAGGAGGAGGTATTTGGCTCCAGCCCTGGATGGGTGTCCAGAGTCACGTCAGCTCCTAGCGGGACCGAGCACAGCCTGTGCATTCACACCACCCTGGGGCACCGGGGTCCTTCTGGAGCTGTGCTGTGCTGGGGCTCAGTGCGGTCCCTTCTGGGTACCCCATTGGTGGTGTGTCACCAGCACTGTGGGGTGGGCCTGGAGGGGAAGGGGAAGCTGCATGGGGAGCCCATGGAGCCTGGGGTACTGCACTCAGCTCTCAAGTTGCACCAGGGGAGGCTGAGATTGGGAATCAGGGAGGAGATCTCTATGGGGAGAGTGCCCAAAGCATTGGAATGGGAGTCCCCATCCCTGGGTGTATTTTGGTGATGGGTGGACATGGCACCAAGGGATGTGCTTCAGTGGTGGGATTCGGTGGGTCAGGGTGATGGCTGGACCCGAGGATCTTGAAGGACTTCTCCAGCCCACGTGTCTCTGTGATTCCCCCCTCGTGCTGGCAGGGCGTGGGGCTGTTTTGCCGACGGGGAGCACTCCCAGAGCACAGAGCAGCCCCACAGCCCCACATCCATCGTCCTCTGCTGCCTCTGACCTAGAAAGCAAACACCACCCCAGGCTGCATCTCCCCATGCCGCTAATGCACCGGGCAGGAGCTGCAGATGGGGCCGCCAGCCCCCGGGTCCTTGCTGCTGGGGTGCTGCGATGCGCCGGCGCACACGCGGGCTTGTAGGGCAGTGGGTCAGAGCCACCCCCAGTGCTGTGACACAGCCCTGTGGAGGGGGACGTGGTGACACGGCCCCTTGGAGGCTGCGAGGCTGCGAGATGGGACCTGGCTGGGAAAGCTCGGGAGAGTGGGACCAGGTATGGGGGCTGTGGGTGGGAGGTGGGGGCCCCATGGGGTGGCTGTGGGGAGCTCCTGGCTGGGCTGAGGACATTTCCTGGGCTCTGGTGACCGTTGGCCCCCATCTCACCGCAGGGCTTGGCTGGGTGCTGCTGCTGGGGCACAGAGGTGTGATTTTGGGGCTGGGATGCGGCCACGCGGGGCGTGTTTGTGTGCAGACCTGTGCGTGAATCAGGCGGAAGTGGAGGTGGCAGAGATCACTCAGGCGGGGCTTTTCAAGTCGGGTTTTGCCTGGTTCCAGCTGCCCGTGCTGCAGCTCCGTGGCTGCATTTCTGCTGTGCATTCGATGAGTTGATCTGAGCAGCTCTGGCACTCCTGGCACAGCGAGGGCTGTGGCGTGCCGGGGCAGCCAGCTCTGCCCGGCTCCGAGCCGCCCCGCCACGTCTCCCGGGGCTGGAGAGCCCTGCATGACGTCGTGCTTTCCGCCACCCTCCTTGTGCCAGATCCTTCGTCATCCCGCCCGTTCCCTGCTGCTTCCCCACAATGCTGGCACAGCAGAATGCAGAGTCCTATGATGCTCCGGGTGTCCCCTTGGGGCCGTGCTGCAGCGCTGTGCCGGACCCACTGTGCGCTGTGCCCGCTGCCGAGGGTGACCCCAGGACCAATATGATTTCGGGGGTCCTTTCACCCTCATTTATCACTGGGGAGGGGTGGAGGTGTTGTTGCATCCCATTGCGGTGTGAGCATCCACACATCCATGGCTCTGCTTGTAGGCACAGAACGGAGCCGCAGCATCAACTATTGGTGCTGGGATCGGGGCTGTCGCATGGCTCGGGATGCAGATGTGCCCGCTCCGGCCCTGCTGCACTCCAGTGCTGGCTGGGCTCCGGCTTCCTCACAGCTCCTGGAGCTCAGAGCCGGGAGCAGATGTTTGGCTCTGATCCCTGCAAGCAGCAGGGGAGCGGCCGCCTTCCTCCCCTTCTCCGAGTGGGATTGGTGCAGGCGCGCTTCTCCCTTCCCTTCACCGCCCGCGCTCGGCGCTGCCCCCCAGCCTGACCCCTCGGCACCATCGCGGCGAGCCGTGAGCTCAGCACTCAGCAGGGACGTCCCGCGGGGTGCGGCCGTGGCCCCGCACGTGGCCCTGCGTGTGTTTGGGGCCGTTGGGGAGCAGCAGGGAAGCGATGCCGGATAAATATTTGCTGCGCCACGCTGCGTGTCGGGGCTCAGCGGGGCTCCTGCGTCCATCCGGGCTGAGGGCGAGCTGGGGATGATCCCAGAAAAGGGCCCCAGAAACCCGCTGGGCACCACCACCGTTGAAGCGTGATCCTCTGTGCTGCGCTGTGTCAGATTTGTTCCTGATGTGGGGTTTGCTCCAGGAGATTCCCTGCACACGGGGCTCCCCAAGGCCAGGATTCTGCACCGGGTGTGTTGTGCAGATGGGCTCAGGGGCTGCCAGGGGATGATCCGGGGCTGGTGGCTGTCCTTGCCGTGGTCCTCCAGCCCTGTCCCTGCTCTGCAGCAGGCTGTCACCCAGGGAACGGGACCAAAGGAGTGGGACTGGGGCACTGCCCCAGCTCAAGCCCGGAGGAGCTGGATGGTGAGGAGGGGCTCTCAGGCTTGTGCCCCCTTTCTTGTTGCCTGGGGGCATGAGGTCCAGGGTTGGGGTTTTCTTGCAGCCCAGGAGCTCGCAGCACGGCTCTGCCCCATGGCTTTGCTGTTTGCCACGTGCCGCTTTGCCACGTGTGAAGGATCCTGGCCTCTGCAGGCAGAGGTGTCCGAGGGCTTGTCCAGACATGGGGAAAAACAGGAATTTCGCAAGCAGGCTGAGTCACACCCCCACCCCGGCGCTGCGCTGCGACTCACTGACCTCCTCATGCAGGGCCCTGAGCGCCACTCTGAGTGCCCCCATCCCCCAGCAGCCCGAGGTCCCCGCACAGGGATGCGCTTCCTTTGGGGTTTGCAGTGCTTCGGGGGAGCAGAGAGATGGCCTGATGCTCCTCACCGTGTGCCCTGCAGCGGTGGCTGGCTGTCGGGGTGCAGTGGGGTGTGATGCTGATCCTCCCCCCTTTGGGTGAGCGCAGGCAATTCAGATCAGCTCGCTGCCTCAGTTTTAGCCCCTGCGAGGTGAGATCTCTGAGCTTCCATGGAGGATGCTGCCAGGGAAGCACCCAGTCCTCCCACCCCCCCCCTCCAGTAGTGATTTGTGAAGCTAATTGGTTTTTCTGCCCCATTAAGTGAATGAGAAGGGAAGAGCCCATTTCCCTGCATTTCCCAACAGTCCTGCTGGGAGCTGATGGGGAATAGTGGTGGCCATTTGCACGTCCCCAAGGCTCCCTTCGTGCCAGCGACCTCCGGACATGGGGTGTGGAGACACAGCCCTATAGAAACGGGTCTGTGCAAATCCTGCAGCTCCATCGTTGCCATGACTATGGCAGAACAAGAGAAAAGGGCCAGGGCAGACCGAGAGGGCTCAGTATCCCCAGGGGGAGTCATCTGGGGTCAGCGGGGGCAGATGAGAGGCAAAACCCACCGGGTGAAGACAAGCGGGGTGCACCGCCCCACGTCCCCTCCTTGCTCCCGGCGCTGAGCTGCTGCTGGAGGCTTCCGGGGAACCGCACCGCACCGCACCGCAGCGCAGCGCAGCGCCTCGAGCGAGCGGAGATGAGCGGCGGGAGGGAGCCAAGAGGCGTTGCCGTGCGAGGACAGCGAGGAAGGAATTACTTATTTCCATGCCTGCAGGGACCGGTGCTGTTTTGCTAAAGCTGCACTTAACCCTCTCTGCCCGCTGCGGGCGAAGAGGTCCCAGCGTGCGCCGTGCCTGGGGGCAGCCACAGAAACAGATGCAGAGGGTCCGTGCTGCCGTGCACACGGGGCGCGGGGGGGTCCTGACGCAGCCCCCCTGTGCACGCGGCACGAGGGTTGAGCCCAAGAGGCTCTGGGGCTGCAAACCGGGAGTGCTGGGAGGTGGTGGTGGAGTAAAGGGGTGCTGAGGGTTGTGCTGGGGGCGCTGAGCCGGGGGGTGCCAGGAGCTGTGGGGAGGGGGCGGCTTGAGGCGCTGTGAGGCTGGGGATGCTGCTTACATGGGCTGGACCTGGAGCTGCCTGCAGGGATGTGGGGTTCACTGGGGGGCACCGCAGGGCCGTGGGCCGCGATTGGGGGAGGCCGTGTCGGCCGGTGGGTGGGACCCCAACCCCATTTCGATGGGCCGAGGGGAGCCGAGCGGTGCCGAGCGGGTCCCTTTGTCGCCTAGCCGGGCCGGGCCGCCGCCGCCGCTGCCGCTTTAACGCGGTGGGGCGGTCCCGTCGCCGCCGCCCCTCCCGCCGCGCCCGCGGGGCCGCAGCCACGGGCAGCAGCATGCTGCGGGCCGGGAGGCCGCGCCGCGCCCCGCGCCTGGTCGCCAGGTAGGGCTCGGCACCGCATCGCATCGGGACCGGCACCGGCGGACGCGGCGCGGCTCGGGGCGGGGCGGGCGCATTGCGGGCGGGCGGCTCCCGGCCCGGCGGTGCGGCGGCTCCGGGGCGCGGGGCTTTGTCTGCAGGGCCCGGAGCCCCGGGGCCGAGCCGCGGGAGGGCTTTGTGTCGGTTGCACCGGGGGAGCGCGGCGCGGCCCCGCCCGCGATCCCCGCGGCTCCCGGTGCCGGGTTGCGGGCTGGGTGCGGGCTGGGCTCGGCGCGGTGCCGGCGCGCGGATCGCCGCTAAGATGGAGGAGCTGCGGGCGTGCGGCACAAAGCCGGGCTGAGCTCTGACCCCGCTGCCCGCACAGCCCCGCGGAGCAGCCCCGGGACCGAGGCACGTCGCGGTGCCCCGTGCCGCCCATCGCCCGGGGGCTGCCGCCCCCCCGGGGCGCGGCGTCCCCCCGGAGGTCCCCTGGGCGCCCGCCCGGCTCCCTCACCGGGTTTGCAGCGCTCGCTGCGGTGCGGTGCCGTGGCTGCTGCTCGCGGGGGGGTTGCAGGGTGACCTTGGCTGCAGGACCGCTGGTTTTGCCCATCGCGGGTTGGCTGCGTGCGTTCAGCCGGGAGCCGTCACTGCCCGGGGTGATGCTTTCCTTGCAGGGTGATTGCCCCGGTGCAGTGCTCGGTTTTGGGGACCCCTTTGCGTGCCGGCTGGAGGCACTGAGTGCTCTGAGGACGTTTCCTGTACCCTGCAGCTGTGCTGGGGCTTGGTGGAGCTGGGAAGTGCTTGGAGAGCTGGATGCCCTGGAACGTGGGGGTTTGGGGTGTAGGGTTCCCCCAGCCCTGTTCCTGTTTAACGGGAGTTCTGTGTGTGCCAACACCCTGAGCCTCCATATGAGGTCGGGAGACCTTTTGGCGTCAGCCCCGCTGGGCCGGGGGGAGCTGCAGAGACCCACCTTGGGCTCAGTCACATCCAGGAGTGCAGCTCCCCAGGGCTCTGCCCCAGCTCCGTGCCGTGCTGCAGTGCTGCCTGCTGCTGGGTTGGTACCGACAGATGCTGATGTGGGGTGGTGGAGGAGTTTTGCTTTGTGTTTTGGGGATTTCTGTCCCGGTGAGAAATCCCCAGAGCTGGGCCGGTGGTGGGAGCCGGGCAGCCCCGTGGCACTTCCTGGGCACGTGGTTGTAATTAAATCCCTTCCTGGGCAGCGGTGCTCCTCTGCAGGGATGCAGGGGGCTGTGTCCGTTCCGGTCCCTGTGTTTGGGAAGGCCAGCAGGGGCAGGACTTGGATCTCGCGCTGCCCTGCCGGGGTCTGCAGCGGCTGTGGGATCTCACAAGACGTGCTGGGGCCTCTGCCCCGGGGCCGGACTCTGCTCGCCCATCCATGAATCTGCGGTGCATGACAACAGCTGTGCTCCTGGGGACCGTGTGGGGTGGGACGGCTCATCCCGACCCCCTGCCGTGGGGGCGGGCATCCGCTGTGCAGCCCTGTGCAGGAAGCTCTGTGTGCTTCCCGGTCGTGTTCTGGCTCCCCTGGGATTTCCAGCTCAGTGACCCTTCATTTCTGGCAGAGCTCGCTCCCCACCCACGGGTAGGGGTTTGCAGCCCCCAGCCCAGCACCTGGCGCTGTGCTGCAGGACACTGAGCTAACTTGGCTTGCTGTGTGGCTCCATCCCTGTGTTTGGGTGTCCCTGGACCCCAGGTGGCAGAGATGCTTGGTGGGTGCCATCCCTGCTTGCCCTGTCCCCAGGGCTGCTGTGTCACTTGTGTGATGCTTCTCAGTTCCCCAGCTGCTGCTGCTTGTTGGGCTCCTGCTTTTCTGTGATGCCGGTGCTGCGGTGCAGACTCTTCTGCTGGGGACCCCGCGGCTCTGCTCCCTTCTCCTCCACCACTGCTTGTCCCTCCCAGCCCAATTCAGGGCTGCGGGGGCCTCGCTGACCTAGTGAGCCGTTGACCTGAAAGGGGCTGTGCTCACCCTGCTGGAAGACGCCCGTGCTGAGTGACAGCCCTGGAGATGGGCTTGTGCACGCTCTGCTGCGCCCTCGGCACGGAGCAGCTGTTGGGGCACACGGAGGTGCTGCGTCCCTGCGGGCGCTGGGCAGCCAAAGAAGGGTGGAGGCTGCAGGGTGCTTGGATGATGTGCTCCGTGTTGGGTCCCTGCCCTTTCTGGGAATCCTCCCGACCCTCTGGGTGGGACCGCTTGCAGGGGGCTCGGTGCCAGCCCCGGTGCAGGTGGTGGCCCCCCGTGCTGCCGTGTCCATAAAACATCTCTCTGGGGCCTCAGTGGGGAAATCGCGGGGTTTGAAGGCTCTGCCAGGCTGGGCTGCAGCCATCTGTGGCTGCCAAGCGTCGGCTCCCTGCCAGGCTGATGGGACTGAGGTTGGAGCCCCGGGGTGGAGCGAAGCCGGTGGGTGGTGGGGAACGGCCGGGCCGGGGGGTGACGCTGGCTGTGCCATTGCAGCTGGGATGAGAGCAGCTCCATCAGCAGCGGCCTCAGCGATGCCTCTGACAACCTCAGCTCGGAGGAGTTCAATGCCAGCTCCTCGCTCAACTCCCTGCCCTCCACCCCCATGGCCTCGCGCAGGAACTCGGCCATAGCGGTAGGTGCTGCCATCCCCTCCGGGCAGCGTGGCACCGTGTGGGGAAACTGAGGCACGGCAGAGCCATGGCGCGGTGACCCGGTGGGGCTGTGAGCACCCTTGGGTGCCCGGTGCCCCCCATCCCCTGGTGCGCCCATGGCTCCGTTCTGCCCGCAGCTGCGCACCGACTCTGAGAAGCGCTCGCTGGCGGAGAGCGGGCTGAGCTGGTACGGCGAGGCGGACGAGAAGGCGCCCAAGAAGCTGGACTACGACAGCAGCAGCCTCAAGATGGAGCACGGCTCCTCCAAGTGGCGGCGGGAGCCTGCAGAGAGCTGCGAGGAGGGTTCCAAGGGTGGAGAGCTGAAGAAGCCGGTCAGCCTGGGCACCCCCGGCTCCCTCAAGAAGGGCAAAACCCCACCGGTGGCAGTGACCTCTCCCATCACCCACACGGCCCAGAGCACCCTCAAAGTGGCAGGTGAGGCCGGGATGGGGCACGGCACGGCTCCTCGAGGGGGAGGTGGTGGGGTTAGATGGGAAGAGGGGAGGTTATGATTAGATATGGGGGGAAATCCTTTACTCAGAGCACGGTGAGGCCCTGGCACTGCTGTCCAGAGCTGTGGGTGCCCCATCCCTGGAGGTGCCTGGGGCCAGGGACGGGTCCTGGGCAGCCTGAGCTGAAGGGGGGCACCCAGCCCACGGCAGGGATCGGGGCTGGGTGATGTTTAAGGTCCCTTCCAACCCAACTGTTCCTTCCTCTCTGTCATCTCTGCTTTCCCATCTCCATTGCTTCCCTCAGCTCTGAATTGTTTTGCACCTAACTGTCCCTCAGACCTCCCCGCTCACTCATCCTTCCTTCCCCACCAGGCAAACCCGAGACCAAAGCCACCGATAAGAGCAAGCTGTCGGTGAAGAGCACGGGGCTGCAGCGCTCCTCCTCTGACGCTGGCCGCGATCGCGTCGGCGATGCCAAGAAGCCGCCCTCGGGTCTCACACGCCCCTCAGCCTCCAGCTCCTTTGGCTACAAGAAGCCGGCCCCAGCCACTGGCACTGCCACTGTCATGCAAGCCGGGGGCTCAGCAACGCTGGGCAAGATCCAGAAGAGCTCCGGTATCCCCGTCAAGCCGGTCAGCGGGCGGAAAACAAGCCTGGATGTCTCCAACGCGGCTGAGCCCGGCTTCCTGGCCCCGGGGGCTCGCACCAACATCCAGTACCGCAGTCTGCCCCGGCCGGCCAAGTCCAGCTCCATGAGTGTGACCGGCGGCCGCGGCGCTAACCGGCCGGTCAGCAGTAGCATCGATCCCAGCCTGCTCAGCACCAAGCAGGCCAGCATCACGGTGTCGCGGCTCAAGGAGCCGTCCAAGATCGGTGCTGGCCGTGGCACACCGGCCCCCGTGAACCAGACGGACCGGGAGAAGGAGAAGGCCAAGGCCAAGGCCGTAGCGCTGGACTCCGAGTGCGTGACGCTGAAGAGCGTTGGCTCTCCTGAGAGCACCCCCAAAGCCCAGGCCAACCTCCCGCCGGCGGCCAAGGTGGCTGAGCTGCCCCCCACCCCCCTCAGGTATGACCCTCCACTTAGAATCTAGAATCACAGAATGATTAAAGCTGGAAAAGACCTCTGAGGTCATCAAGTCAAACCATCAACCCATCATCACCGTGCCCACCCATAGAATCGTTAAGGTTGGAGAAGACCTCTAGGCCCACCAAACCCAACCCGTCCCCACCAACCCATGCCTCTCAGTGCCATATCTGTGCTTTACTTGAGCGGGGTCCTTTGGGATGTTGCACTCAGTGTCTGCTCTCACTTTGTCTCATCCATTTTTTACCCCAGAGCGGCTGCCAAAACCTACGTGAAGCCTCCCTCGTTGGCCAACTTGGACAAGGTCAACTCCAACAGCCTGGACTTGCCCTCCTCCAGCGAGCTGCATCCCCCACACACTGCCAAGCTCCAGGACCTGCACCCAGCTGGGGGGCATCTGACGCCCTGCTTCAGCCCCAGTCCTGCTCCCATCCTCAACATCAACTCGGCCAGCTTCTCCCAGGGCCTGGAGCTCATGGGCGGCTTCAGCGTCCCCAAGGAGGGTAGGATGTACCCTAAGCTCTCCGGCCTGCATCGCAGCATGGAGTCCCTGCAGATGCCCATGAGCCTGCCCAGTGCCTTTTCGGGGGGCAGCACCGCCACCCCCAGCCCTGCTGCTGTCCCCCCTGCCAGCACAGAGGAAGAGGAGGAGGCGGGTGAGCTGGGCTGGAGCGGCAGCCCCCGGCTTGCACACCTGGACAGGTATGGGCAGAGGGTGGGCAGCAAGACTCAACCCCATAACCCTGTCCATCATCATCCTCCTCTGGCGTTTGCTTGCTTCAGAGGTTCATTCTGGGGGGAAACGTGCATCCCCCTCCTGTCACCCAGCCCCTAGCTGCCTCATCACATTCCCCTGTCTGTGCAGTGACTGATCTTCCCTTCCCTTCCAGCACCAACCGTGACAGGAACACGCTGCCCAAGAAGGGGCTGAGGTAAAAGGGTCCACGTGGCTTTTGGGTGGCGCAGGGAGGGTGGATGGGTGGGCAGAGCACCCAGCAGTGTGGGGCTGGCTGTGCTGCAGGGCAGGCGGGCAGGAGGTGGGGAGGTGTCCGCACCATCTCACTCCATGCTCCGCTCCAGGTACCAGCTGCACTCCCAGGAGGAGGCCAAGGAGCGCCGCCACTCGCACACCATTGGAGGGCTGCCCGAAGCGGACGATCAGCCGGAGCTGCCCTCACCCCCCGCCCTCCCCATGGCTCTGGTTGGGAAGGGTCCGCTCACCAGCATCGGTCAGTGCCCACCTCCTCCTTGTGCCAGCCTGGGTCCCTCTGTGCCCCGATGCCCCGGTTCGTTGCTGGGACATCCCCCTGCTCCAGAGCCTAGGGTCAATGTTCTGTTGTTTTTTTGGCACACCCAGCTCTCATCCCATTCCTTTTGCCACACTGAGGTTCTGGGTTGTGGCTGGGGGCCGACGGCTTTGCTTCAGGGCATCCGACTCATCCTCGGTGCCCTGCATGCTCGGGTGCAAAGTGGAGCCCTGCTGTGTTCTCACTGGGACCTATGTGTCCCAGGAGGGTCTGGGGGACTCAGGCAAAGGGATTGGGGCTGGCAGCAGGTGATGGGGTGCATCACACTGCACCCGGAGGTGATGGCCTCCTGCACAGTGGCACCAGCTGTGCCCAGCTTGGTGGATTTCTCAGCTCCATGTTCACCAGGAGGCATTGCCTTGGGTACAGCTTACCAGTCTTCCCTGCGTAAACCTGCTTTTTAGCTTTCCTCCCGTCCTCCTGCTTTGGGACTGCAATCCCTGCTTCCTTTCCCCATCCCGGCTCCCCAGGTCCACTTCCAGCCCCGCTTCCCCATCCCAATCCCCTGCCCGGCTCTGACCCCTCCTCTCCCCTCCCTTCTCCTTGCAGTGAGCCCCACTGCCACCACCACCCCGCGGATCACCCGCTCCAACAGCATCCCCACCCACGACTCCACCTTTGAGCTGTACAGCACCTCCCAGATGGGCAGCACCCTCTCCCTGGCAGACAAACCCAAGGGCATGATCCGCTCGGGCTCCTTCCGGGACCCTGTGGATGACGGTGAGAGTATGCTTGGGATGGAGGGGCTGTGGGGCTCCCCAGGCCCTCGCCACTTTTTCTGGGCTCTGCTGGAGGGGCTGCTGCATCCAGGCATCAGCATCAGCGCAGTGCATCCCGACCCGTGCAGGTGCTGCTGGGCAGGTTGGAGCCCTGCTGGGTGGCTGGAGGTGCCCGGTGGCCTTGGGTTGGCACCGGGGACGGGGAACCCGAGCATCCAGCATGGGTGGCAGAGCCTCAGGCTCAGTCAGAGCAGGTGGAGGGTGCTCCCTGCCGTGTGCCCAGGCAGGAGGATGCTGGCCGAGTGCCGAGGAGTGGGCAGCATCCTGCAGCTCTATCCCCACTCCAGGCTCTTTGCAGAGCCCCTGTGGCATTATCCTGTGCCTTTAACCCCAGGCAGCACTCAGTCTCTTGACACACTGGGTTTTGCTGTGTTGCAGTTCATGGATCGGTGCTGTCCCTGGCCTCCAGCGCGTCCTCCACCTACTCCTCCGTAAGAGCTGCCGCCGGGCTGCGCCTCCTCATTGCATGGCTATGGGCTGGGGGGTCCGAGGGGGGGAAAATGATGCTGAGCTATGCGGGGGGGCTCCGTGCATGTCCTCTGTCCCGTGCTGAGCCTGTCTGCGCCTCGCTGCCCTCCTGACTGCCTGCCTCTGTCTGTCTTTCTCTGCCTTCACGCTGCCAGGCTGAGGAGAAGATGCAGTCTGAGGTGAGCCTGTGCCCAGCGCTGCTACTTGGTCCCCACCCACAGCCGCTGTGAGCGCACGGCCCCTCTCACCCCTCTGCTCTCTCCTTGCAGCAAATCCGCAAGCTGCGTCGCGAGTTGGAGTCCTCGCAGGAGAAGGTGGCCACGCTGACATCCCAGCTGTCTGCTAACGTGAGTTCCTGCAGGATGTGTGGGGCTGATGCTCACCTCCACTCTGGTTCCCTTAGGAGCTGACCTGCCGTGGGCTCTGCTCTGGGCTCCTCTTCTTTGCCCCAGGAGGAGTCCCCTCTGCTGCTCCCTGCCACCTGCACTGAGCAGCCCTGGGGCTGCAGGTGCTCACCCTTCTCTCCATCTCTCCCAGGCCAACCTGGTGGCAGCTTTTGAGCAGAGCCTGGTGAGCATGACGTCCCGCCTGCGGCACCTGGCTGAGACCGCTGAGGAGAAGGTGGGTGGGTGCTCAGGGTGCCGGAGCTGGGGGTGCTCTGGGAGTTCTCCTGCGCCACTGGGATGCGCTCCATGACTCCTGGCTCTGCAACTGCAGGACACAGAGCTGCTGGACCTGCGGGAGACCATTGATTTCCTGAAGAAGAAGAACTCGGAGGCACAAGCCGTGATCCAGGGTGCCCTGAATGGCACTGATGTTGCTCCCAAAGGTAAGGCATGGTGGTCTGCTGGCCACCAGGGGGCTGTGACCTCGAGAACCTCAGCTGTGCGGTTAGGAGCTGGCATCTGGGTTGAGGCAGCTGTTTGGGGTTCCTTGGGCTCTTCTCCACCTGGGGTTCCCAATGCCTGTGTGTCACAGCCAGAACTGTCATCGCAGGTCTTGGTGCTGGTGTGTGAGGAATGGGATGGTTGTCCTCCCCCAGACCTCCCCTCACTGGGCCAGTTGCCACCAGTGTGTTCCTAGCTACTCATCTTGGCTTTATTCTCACAAATGCTCAAGTGTTTCTTACCTCCAGGTCCCACTGTGGGTGTGGGGTGCTGGCAGGGAGGCAGCCTGGAACCTGAGGGGAACAGTGTCTGCTCTGTGCATGTCCCTGGTTGTCAGCACCTCATGACCTTTCCTGCCTGGTTTGGGTGGGCCAGGGGGAGAAGGGGTGGACTGCAGGTGGGTTGGGAATATGTGACGGCTCTGGTACTGGATAGATGCAGTTTAATCGCTCCCTTCTTGGTCTCTCCCCTTGTCTGCTTTCCCTTGGTGGCCCCAGAGCTGCGCATCAAGCGGCAGAACTCCTCCGACAGCATCTCCAGCCTCAACAGCATCACCAGCCACTCCAGCATCGGCAGCAGCAAAGATGCCGACGCCAAGAAGAAGAAGAAGAAGAGCTGGGTGGGTTGGGCAGGGGGCAGGCGTGGGGAGGGGGTGCGGGGTCTGGGTGGGCTCAGCCCTATGAGCCAGCTGCACTCACTCTGTTGTGACCTCGTGGTGTTGGTCCCCTCTGTCCCCTGGGGACAGCACTGGCAAGGAGCACAGAGCACCACGGGCTTGTCCTGTGCTGCCTGGGGCCAGGGCTTCCCCAGCTCCTCCAGGAGTTTTCCAGCTCTTATCCTGCACAGCTGTTCCTCGTGGTCTCTCCCACTTGTCAGCCCTGCCCCCGCAAGGGAATTGGCCTGGGGCTCTGCAGGCACTCAGCCAGGTGGCCCCAAGCTGGATGCATGATTAAGTCTCGCTTTGTTCTGTTTCTCTTCCCCCTATGCTGACCTCATCCCTTTTTTTCCAGGTGTATGAGGTAAGTCCTATGCTGTGCCCTCCACCCCATGCTCTGCCTGCTCTGGGTGCTCACTCCATTTCACGGGAAGGCACTCATGACACAGAGCATCGCATCCCACTGGCACGAACCCCAGGGCTTTGTGCTGAGCATGCCTTGGTTGCTTCCTGCGGGCTGAACCCCCTGGGCAGCTTGGCAGAGATCCCTGGGGCAGGATGGGGACCTGTCCCAGAGATGGGGACCTGTCCCATGGATGGTGTCTGTCCTCTTCTTGCTTGGGGCAGGCATCACAGCCATCCAAGGGCAGCCCCACAAAGGAGACACTGCAGCCCTGATTTGTGTGGTGCTGCCCTCATTGGGCTGTGCACCAGGTGTCATGGTGCCCAGCTCCTCAGCTGGCCCCAGGGGTGACCCCCAGCCTGCCAGTGGGGCTGAGTTGCTCTGTTCCCCTCAGGGCCCGTGTAGGTCCCACTATATTATTGTCATCAGCAGAGCCAGGCACTCAGCTTGGTTTTCGCACGAACCATCCCATCCTCTCCATTGTGACAGTTTTGCTCCTGGGGAATGCCAGCTTAGCTTTTCTGGAGCCAGTGGGAGGTGGGCTGCATCCTGCCCGCTCTCCACCCCCTTCTCCATCCACCCCCCACTGGAACATCCCCCCCCAGGGGGATGCACTGTGAGCTCAGTGTCCCAGAGGTGGGCTGTGTAAGCCATGGTTTGGCCCCTGCACAGCATCCCTCTGTTCTCTCCAGCCTTTCCCACTCATCTGTCTGCCACTGTGTGTGTGCTGTGTGCATGCTGCATGCCCACCCTCGTGCCCCACACCTCCAGAAGGATGCATAGGGGCTCAGGGTGTCCCAGGACCCAGCTCTGCGGTGGCTGGGTGCTGCAATGTCCTGCTTGCTGGGTTGGCTGCTGGGTAACTGCCAGCATGGAGTCTGCTCTTTGGGATGGAGCAGGATGCTGGTGTGGTGCCCCAGTGTGGGTGCTGGTGGGGGAGCGTGGCTGGGAGGTGGGTCCTGTGGTTGGTGCTGGTTGGGGCGGAGGCTGTGCCAGCAGAGCGGGGTGGTTGTAGTGGGCAGTCCTGCCTCAGTGGTGGTCCCGCTGTCTGGTCCCAGTTCAGACTGCCTGTGGGCACGGGCACAAGGCTGGGCCAGGACTGCGTTTGCAGGGCTGTCTCTAACAGGAGTGTTTCTGTCTCCTGTAGCTGCGTAGCTCCTTCAACAAAGCCTTCAGCATCAAGAAGGGGCCCAAGTCGGCCTCGTCCTACTCGGATATTGAGGAGATCGCCACGCCGGACTCCTCAGCCCCGTCCTCTCCCAAGCTCCAGCACGGCTCCACCGAGACCACCTCACCTTCCATCAAATCCTCCACCTCCTCCTCCGTGGGCATCGACACGGCTGAGTGCGTGGTGCAGGGGAGGAGGGCTGGCCGTGGGGTGGTTGTGCGCCCGCCCCAGCCCTGAGCACACCTCGGTCTCTCCCTGGCCCAGGCTCTTCCAGGCGCACGGTGAGGGCGAGCCGGAGAAGAAGGAGGTGTCAGAGCTGCGCTCGGAGCTGTGGGAGAAGGAGATGAAGCTGACGGACATCCGCCTGGAGGCCCTCAACTCGGCTCACCAGCTGGAGCAGTTGCGGGAGACCATGCATAACATGCAGGTGGGGGTGGCTGCGCTCCCCGGAGCCTTGTCGTGGCTCCTGGGGCACTGCCAGCACACAGCTGCTCACCCGGGCCGTCCTGCTCTTCTTCCCCCAGCTGGAGGTGGATCTCCTGAAGGCAGAGAACGATCGGCTCAAAGTGGCTCCGGGGCCCTCGGCGGTGCCAGGATCCATTCCTGGTCACATTACCAGCACGTCGGCCTCCTCGTCGCCACGGCGCTCGCTGGGGCTCTCCCTGGGCCATGCCTTCAGCCCCAGCCCGGGGGACGCCGGTAGGGATGGCAGAGCTGCCTGTGCTGATGGCTGTGCAGGTCTGGCTCAGGCTGGATGTACTCAGACCCCCCGCCTCTGCTTTGTCCCCAGACATGTCTCCCATGGACGCCATCAGTGCTGGCACCCAGAAGGATGAGCTGACGCTGAGGATTGTGGTGCGCATGCCGCCCCAGCACATCATCAAGGGGGTAAGCGTGGGCTGTGCAGGAGTCCCAACCTGTCCCTGTGGGGCAAAATGCTGTGCTCCAACCCCACACACCTCTGCCTTGGCTCCTAGGACCTCAAGCAACAAGAGTTTTTCCTGGGCTGGACCAAGGTGAGCGGGAAGGTGGATTGGAAGATGCTGGATGAGGCTGTCTGCCAGGTCTTCAAGGTAGGAGCGTCGTGACTCCTCTTCTGAGAGCCTTCCTCGTGCGCTGCTCTCCGTGCCTGGGTCCTGACTGGGGACTCGGGGAGCTGCTGAGCCCTACTTGCTCTTTAACAGACCCATCTTTGTCTTCACAGGATTACATCACCAAGATGGATCCTGCCTCCACGCTGGGGCTCAGCACTGAGTCTGTTTATGGCTACAGCATCAGCCACATCAAGCGGGTCCTGGACACGGAGCCACCGGAGCTGCCGCTGTGCCGCCGGGGCATGAGCAGCATCGTGGTGACGCTCAAAGGTCGGTGAGCAGAGAGGCTCCATGGCTGTGCCGTCTTCCCTCTGCCCCTGGTGCCACAGAGTGTGAGCGGGACGCTCATCCCTCCCTGCAGGCTTGAAGGAGAAGTGCGTGGACAGCTTGGTGTTCGAGACGCTCATCCCCAAGCCCATGATGCAGCATTACATCAGCCTCCTGCTGAAGCACCGGCGGCTCATCCTCTCGGGACCCAGCGGCACCGGCAAGACGTACCTGACCAACCGGCTGGCCGAGTACCTGGTGGAGCGCTCGGGCCGGGACGTCACCGAGGGCATCGTCAGCACCTTCAACATGCACCAGCAGTCCTGCAAGGTGAGGGACTGTCCCTGTCGGTGCTGCTGTCCCACTTGATGCTGGGACCGTTTGTGATGCTCCGTTGTTTGCAGGACCTGCAGCTGTACCTCTCCAACCTGGCCAACCAGATCGACAGGGAGACGGGCACGGCGGACGTGCCCCTGGTGATCCTCCTGGATGACCTCAGCGAGGCGGGCTCCATCAGTGAGCTCGTCAACGGCGCGCTCACCTGCAAGTACCACAAATGGTGAGAACTCTGCTGTGTCCCCATCCTGCACAGCCTCCTGGAGACGGGGCGGCACGGCCACGTATGTGCCTGGCTCTGCTGCGGCTGGGAGTGATGCAGGCTGCTTTTTTCTCATCGATCCCATCTCTCGCTCAGCCCCTACATCATCGGGACCACCAACCAGCCTGTGAAGATGACCCCGAACCATGGTCTCCATCTCAGCTTCAGGTAGAATCATAGACTGTCCCAAGATGGAGGAGACCCATAAGGATCCAACTCCTTAGGATTATACATCCCTGGGGAGCGTTCTGGTGGGCTTGGGGAGGCCAGAGGCTGTCACTCCTTGCTGCTGGGCAGTCCCAGGAACACATACTGTGGTGGGGGAGCCTGATGAGGACCAAGCCCCATGCCTTTGCCTGCCATCCCAGAAGGGTCTGATTGCCTCACCCCTGGGCTTGGGCCATGTGGGGGTCCTAAGCCTCTCCTAAGGGTCCTGAGCTTCTCCTAAGGGTCCGAGGACCATGAAGGGGGCTGGGAGGCACTGTGTTACGTGGACAGCCCCATCCCTGAGCACCCCGATCTCCTCCAGGATGCTGACCTTCTCCAACAACGTGGAGCCAGCCAATGGCTTCCTGGTGCGCTACCTGCGGAGGAAGCTGCTGGAGTCAGACACGGACGTCAACGCCAACAAGGAGGAGCTGCTGCGTGTGCTGGACTGGGTGCCCAAGCTCTGGTACCACTTGCACACCTTCCTGGAGAAACACAGCACCTCCGACTTCCTCATTGGTATGGCCAGGCACGCCTTTCTCTTCTACATCTTCTTCTTTGGGTGCAGCTTTGCTGGCGTGGGGCGGGTGGCTGGAGCCAGAGAGCCCAGCTCCCATCTGTACTCTGCCTCTTCCTGCAGGTCCCTGCTTCTTCCTGTCCTGCCCCATCGGAATCGAGGATTTCCGGACCTGGTTCATTGACCTGTGGAATAACTCCATCATCCCTTACCTGCAGGAGGGGGCGAAAGATGGGCTCAAGGTACCCAGCGCATCCTGGCACGTGGGGACACAAAGCAGGGCCCAGCTCAGAGCTGGTGGCGCCTGGGCTGTGCTGGCATCCTTGGGGTGGGGTGAAGGTCTGGTGTGCAGGTGCCACCTCTCTTGCCCCCTGCCTGCAGGTCCACGGGCAGAAGGCAGCCTGGGAGGACCCCGTGGAGTGGGTGCGGGACACCCTGCCCTGGCCATCAGCACAGCAAGACCAGTCCAAGCTGTACCACCTGCCCCCACCCACCATCGGACCCCATAGCACTGTCTCCCCCCCCGAGGAGCGCACCGTCAAAGACACAACGCCCAGCTCCCTGGATGCGGACCCCCTGGTATGGCTGCGGTGTGCTGGGGAGGGGGTGGGTGGTGCTGGTGGAGGGAGAGCAGCACGGAGCTGAGCATTGCTTTCCCAGTTAGTTTTTGGTGTAAAAACCTTGATTGAGAGATGCAGAAAAGTTGGGTTTTCCTGGGTGGGTGCAGGATGCTGGCACCAATAGAAATCATAGAGTTTGGAAAAGACCTTTGGTAACATCAAGTCCAACCAGCACCCCGTCCCCACTGCATCCATCCCTAGAATCACAGTGATCCTTCCAACCTTAATGATTCTGAGAGCACCAAGTCCATCCCTCAGCCCATCTCTCCGTGCCCTCCAGCCACATCCCTCAGTGCACCAGGGCTCGTTCCCCTGCGCATGCTGAGCCATAGGCATCAAGGCCAGCTCACGAGGTGGGGGGGGGGAAGGGTTTGCAGCATGTCCAGGCTTTGCTTTACTGTCTGAAGTCCCCCCCTTCCTGGGTGGGCTCTTCGGGAGGGCAAGGATTCCGGGCTGAGTGCCACGCGCTGCTCCCCACAGATGGCCATGCTGCTGAAGCTCCAGGAAGCCGCCAACTACATCGAGTCTCCGGACCGTGAAACCATGGTGGATCCCGACCTGCAATCGACTCTGTGAGGCACGCACATGCCGGCCCAGGTGCAGGGGGCGGCCACCGGGCTGCCCTCCTCCTCCTCTTCCTCCTCCGGTAGCCTGGAGCGCAGGGCTGGGGCTGGCGAGCGAGCGGTGAGGAGCGGAGCCCTGTGCAGCTCTGCGCAGCGTGGGGAAGCTCAGCTCTGCCGTGGGAGAGTGCGAGGCTCCGCTTCTCCACCCCTCTTTTGGGGTAGGAGAATCCTGGTTTCTCTTCTTGGTTTTTCTGTCTCTATTGCAAACTCTCGGGTTTTGGGGCCGCTGTGGCCAAGCCCCCGCTCCAGGGAGCTGCAGGATGGGCCCTGCGTGGGGCAGGGACCCCGTGGGAGCCCCCTGGGCTGGAGCTGGGGGGTGGGAGGACGTGTGGCCGTGTCTGTGTGTCCGGCACCGTGCTCCCACTGCTCTCTTTGTACATTCCTCATTTAACCTGCTTGGCAGCCGCTGCACCCAGGACAACCCAATAAACCCCGCTTCGGTTATTTTATTTTATTACTCCCCCTTCCCTTTTTCGTTTGACCGAGTCCAGACTTTGCTTTGCTCCCTTTTTTGTTCTGGTTCTTTGCTCTCCCAAGCCTGAGCCCATGCTCTGGTGCCCATCGCTTCCCCCCCTGAGCAGCTCTGCTTCCTTTTGGTTTCTTTTACAGCTGTTGGTCCCACCACTCCACACACTTCCGTCACACAACTGGTGCTCACTGGACAACCTCCAGTCCCCAAATCCACCTCTCCAGTTGCCTCATATCTTGGCTGGGATGGGTCTGGGCAGGTGGTGGTAGTGGGGTGCACCCGGAGAGCCCCTTTGCCTGGAGGCCCCCTCCCAAAAGCACAAGGCAAAGTGTGGCCTTGGGCCCGGGGGGTGCTGTGGGGCTGCCAAGGGGCAGCACAATGCTGTGGGGCAAGGAGTGGCAATCTGCTCCCGTCTCCTCTCTGCTGCCGGGTTGGGTGGCACAGGGACAGAGCCGTGCCTGACATTGTCCCCGTGCCTCTGGCTCACCACTGCCCCATGGGGTTTCGTGACCCCCCCCCCCAGGCCCACCCTGTGCCCTGCAGCCGCACAGTGCCCTCTCAGCATGGGCTCTCCATACCCACACTGGTGCTCTGGGGACATCCAGCTGGGGCCACATGTCCCCTTGGCCCTATGGTGCAATGTCACAGGCGCTGCTCCCTGCACTGCCTTAATCCCTGTGGGTAGGGGGCACGCAGGGCTGGAGGGGGGGGCCACTGGCACGGCCCGCATTTGCTGCCTCCAAAGCCAGCTGGGCTGGGATGGGACCGTGGTGCCGGTGCTTCACTGAGCACTGCCCAGCTGGGGCCACTGCCTTCGGTCCCTTTAGTACCCTTCTCTTCCCCTCCTCCCGGCCCCGCAGAGGGCACAGCACCTTTAGGGGAGCGGTTCCCCACGGCGGCTCTGCCCCCCACTGCCTTCAGGGACCCCCCCCACCTCCCTGGGGCTCTGTGTGCCCCCCGCTGCCCTCGGTGCTCTCCTGCCCGCGCAGCCCTCCCGCGCGGCCCCATGGTGCTCACTTCTCCGTCTGTCCCACAGCCTCCCTGCTGCCAGCCCCTCTGCACAGGGCTGTCCCTCCCCACGCTGGCTTGGACGTTAGGGCTTTCTGTTTGCCTTCTGTTGTGTTGTCAGCTGAGGACTCGCTGTAAATAGATCCGTAGTCGAACGCCCTGCGTGAGTTGGCGGGGTCCGACCCTGCGCGTCTTTCTCCTTTTTTTGTACTCTGTGATAACTGTGCTGTGCTGACTTCTTTTCTGATTGTACCAGGTGTTGGCTCAGCAGCAGCTCGAGGTTGGGGACCCGCACTCCCCTCTCACCCCCCTCGGGACCTTAATGCCCTGAGGACGGGGCGCAAAGCACCTTTGGGGGCCCTGAGGAGCCCCGCAGTGCACGGCGTTGGTGCAGCCTCACACTGGGATTTCATCCCTGGCACCACCACGGAGCCACCAAAACACCCCACAAACCCTCACGGGACACGCACTGCAGCGTCCCCTTGTGTGGCCTGTGGGGTCGCCCCATAACTTGTGGGTGCAGACACCCAAGCCCTGTGGGATGAACAGCAGCCACAGCCGAGCCCTGGGCACAGTGGGTGCTGGGTGGGGCTTCCTAGTGGGGTCCCTCACCCAAAGGGGAGCAGCATTGGTGGCTCCTGTTGGTGTCCCCCAGTGTGGTGGCACCCATCGGGGAGGTTGGGGACCCTCGGGGTGCCCACACCCATGGATCCCACCATTGCTCTGCCTGCTGGCCACCCCCAGGTGTTTGTTGTCCCCGTGGGGACGCTGTGCTAAGGCTGCCTGCTGGCCCCAAGGTGCCGTCACCCCAAAGGCGCCCGCAGCCCCTTGGAGCACCAGGAGCCCCCCCACCACCCTCGAGCTGCTGCTGCCCAGGGGCCTGAACCTTACAATTTTAGCTTTTTTCTATTAAAAGAAGAAACAAACCTTTTTTTAATTAAATAAAAGACGAAAAATGGACAAATTCCTGTTTTAGATGATCTGTGTAACTGACTGGGTTTTGTGTTTCTTAACTGCATGGTGTTCCTGCCGAGGGGTTTTATAGCACTTTTTAAATTTCTCTTTAAGATTTTGGTCCAGATTTCTACTGCTCTCTCGCCTGTCTGTCTTTGCTTTTTCCCTCGCCTCCAAGTTTGTAAACTCGCTCCGTTTTATACCTGATGTGGAAACCCAACCCCACGTTGTACATAGCTGCGGGAACAATCAGAGGAACAAACACCATCTGGACTCTGCCACCATTCGTTGTTTTTACTTAAAGAAACTACACGAGGAAGCCAGGAAAAGGCTTGAGGCTCATTCCGAAGGACAGTAACCAACCCAGCCCTGCACCAAGTCAGCTCCTGCTGCCCACGCCGCCCGCACCACCCGGCATGTCTCTCTCGGTCGTCTGTCTCACACCATTGGGTTCAATAAAGTTATCTCCTGTACTGCCTGGCTGCGTGTCCTCTGTCGCTGCACACAGTGCCCCAAACGCGGTCTGTAATGCTTGTGCACAGTGCTGGGGAACAGGTGAGGACCTGCAGGGAGGCCGCACGGTGCCCCGGAGCTGTTTTCCACTCCACAGAGCGGTGCCAGGAAGGGAAAAATGCTCCAGAAGCCGTGAATTAATGTCAGCACAGCGAGGATCCTCACGTGGGCCCTTCGCATTGGCTCCCAGGGTTCTGTACAGGGATGGCAGCATCAGCTGCCAGTCTGCCCCAGCAACTGTGGGGCCTCAGCCCCACTCAGAGCACCCCAGCACCTGTACTGCTCTACTGGGTGCCGGTGGGTCGCTGCCCCATATAGATACAGAGGCGACCCTGGGGGACTACTGTGTCCACTCCAGGTGCAGCTGCACTCAGTTTGGGTGTGTGATGCTGTAATGTGATGGAAAGCACAGCAATGATAGCAGGGTAACAAAGTCCTGGGCTGCAGCAAATGAGGACAAGCTCAAATGCAACAACCGTAGACACAGAAACAGCAAAAGAAAAACTGCTTACCTTTAGAAGACCTCCACAAGACAGGGACCTCCAGCAAGATGCTCCCACTTCCACTGCCAGACCTTAGAAGAGGGCTGGGGTGGATCCTGGCTCCACCCCTTTCTGTCACTCAGGTACATTGCACACACCTGAGCTCCCCTGCTTGGCCCTGGCTTCCCACCAGGTGCTCCATCACTGCTCCAAGCTGTGTCAGCTTTGCCACTACAGGATCTGACAGCACGTGGTAAGGGTGCTACACCACCCCCATCGGTATGACAGCACCCATGGGTGCTGCAGCACCCAGTACGTGCACACCATCAGCCCATATTCGTACAGTGGCACCCACGAGGTGCTGCAGCATGTGATGTGTGGATGCTGCAGTACAACTCCTTGCAGGTACAGCAGCACCTATAGGGTACTGCACTGCCAGGTATGGGCTGAGTAGCGCCCCATATAGCTGAATCACCACCCTGTCTAGGTACAGCAGCACCCACGTACAGGTACATCATCACCCCACAGCTGCAGCAGCACCACTGGGGCGCCGCAGCGCTGACTACAGTTACATCATCCGGTCGGTACAGGTACGCGGCCAGCCCACGCTCCCAAGGTGACCCCGACCTTTCTGCCCCCCACGGCCCCTCGGGGCTGCACGGAGGGCTCCTGGCTGCGCCCGGCACGGGCGGAGCTCCGGGGTTGGGGGGTCTGGCAGCTCGCAGCCCGCAGCCCCGCGGTTCGCTGCGGGGACCCCGCGCCGAGCACAGCGCTGGGGGCGGGGCGGACTGCGGAGGGGGGCGGGGCTTGCCGAGGGAGGGGCGTGGCTTGTGGGTAGTGGGCGGGGCTACGCGGAGCCGCTGCACGCGAGCCCGGAGGGGCCGGTGCTGCCGCAGCGCCCGCACCCGTCCCGCACCGGTCCCGCACCGCACCGCACCGCGCTCCGCCGCAGCGCACGGTAAGTTCGCGCCCGCCGAAGTTTCTCTCGGCGCTCCCCGGGTGCCGCAGCGGTGCGGGTTCTGCGGGACGGGGCTGCCCACTCTCCCGGTGATCCGTCCCCGGTGTGTGCGGGTGGCAGCGCCGTTTCCCGGTGTCGGTGCGGGGCTGGTGCGGGATGCCGGGGACGCGAGGAGACTGCGGGCTCTGGGCGCTGCCCGGTGCCAGGGGCTGTGCCGGTGGCTGCCCATAGGGAGATGCGCTCTCGGTTTCCCCGTCTGCGAGGCTCACGGCTGCGGGATCCCCCCGGGATGAAAGAACCACCGCCCCCGGATGTGGGAACCCCCCCGGGATGCGGGACGCACCCCGGGTTTCAGGGCGCCCCGGACCACCGGTGGCTCTCAGCCCCGCACCCACGCGCGTTCGGGGCCGGGAGCGCCCTTGGAATCCCGGCGCTGAGAGGTGGCCGGGGGTTCCCCATCCCCGCAGTTGCAGCCACGGTGCGGTGCGGTGCGGGTAAACGGCGGCAGCATCGCGGCTCCGGACCGGCAGCTCCCGGTGTTCTCCGCCGCGTCCTGGACCGCGGCCAGCTCTGCCGGTCCGTTCGCGGGGCTGCAGCATCCTCCGCGCTCCTCCTGCACGCGGGGTGCGGCGGTGGGGCGGTGCGGGGCGGCAGCGTTGGGCTACAAGGAGCTGTGTGCCCGCATCCCGCCCGCAGCCTACTTTCAGAGGAGCGGCAGCGACCCCAAAAAAGCTCTGCCAATCGCACGGGGGGAAGGCAGCTGGACAAAGTGACTGTGTCACGCGTTGCTCGGTGGTCCCCAACTGCAGCCCGAGCTTTGGAACCTTCGTGTGTGTGTCCCTGCACTGCGTGCGCCTTTGGTGCAGCGATGGGATGTCACCCACCCTGGGACCTCAACCTCCCTGCTATGACACCCTCCCTATGATGACACCCACCCTGGGATGTCACCACTGCAGGTTGTCCAGGGGTCCCCCACCCGCCCCTCTGCAGCAGCAAAACTTCTACCTGATGGTGCACTCAGGTGCTGCTGCAGATTTTCCGCTCTGTGCGCGCTGTATGGGAGCTCAACGACCGGCAGGCGTCGTCTCCTGCCTGCTGCATTATTCCTCGCTAGCGCAGCGCCTCGGCCACGTTGCCGCGGGCTGCTGGGGCCCTGCGGGATGCCCAGGGCTCTCACCTCACCGCGGGGGTCAGTGCTCGTGGCTGGATGCTGCTGCAGAGAAGCAAAGCGGCTTTGCTGGTTTGCGACTCGGGGTGAGCGTGGGGTGCTGTGAGAGGTGATGCACCCAAGGTCATTGAGCAGTGGGACATGAGCCACGCAGCTCGGGAACGGCACGAACCCATCGGACACCCCAACAGCCCCGTGTTCCTCTGGGAGCGATGCTCTGCCCGCTTCTTGCAAGTGGTGAAGCGCGGGGATGGATCTGACCTTGTTCCCGGTTACCTGCACATCTCCAGCCCCTGCACTGGGCAGTGGGATCCCCTTACTGGGAGCTCCTGGACCCCATCCCTGTAGGAGTGCGTTTCTCCCCCCACATCAGCCCAGCAGTATCGGTGTGCAAATGTCCCCCGCACCGCATCGCCTCGGGCAGCCCCGGCTCAGCGCTCTCTGCCCGATGCCACGGCGGGAGGGGAAGAGGAAAACACTGACAGACCCCCAGCCGCCCAGCGGCTCATTGGGCGCTGCAGCGCTCACTGCTGGGGGAGCGGCTCTCTGCTGCTGGAGCCCATGGGAAGCTGATGGAGGGGCGCCGAAGCGCAGAGGGCTCCTGCAGGGCGGCAGCGGGTGCTGCTCTGCTCACCGTGCTGCTGGCAGAGGCCCAGCTCCCGGCGCCAGATGACTGCGGTTCCTAATTATTGCTTGAGTTTCTGCTCCTCCTGGCTGCGCAGGGAGGTGGGGTGTCCTCGAGCAAGATCAGTGCCCAAAGCAAATAGATGGGACCGAGTGCCCGCTGCTTTCCAACCCTGGTGTTGTTTTCTTTTCCCCCTAACCCCGCAGCAGAGCTCAGTGCCGTCCTGCTGTCCCCACACCCGGAGCTCTGAGCGGTGGAGGCTGTCTGTGCGCTTTGCCCTTGGCTGCAGATGGCTCTGCCTGCTGGGTGGGAGTCCCTCTGCTCCCCCCTCATCCCCACCCCGTGTTCAGCTCCCACAGGAGCCCGCATTCCCCCAAGTGCTCTTTGATTATTAGCCCTAATAATTGTGTTATCGCATCGGCTGAAATGTTTCAGATGCCAAAGCTAATTTTGCTCTTCATGCCTTCCTTCATTGGTAATGGGATTTTGATAACATCGCACGTCCAGAGGTATTGGATCAACCCAGCATAATTCCCCATTTATTAATTAAACCGTAAATTAGGCAGTGTGTGGCTGGAATCTAAGATGCTCTGCACTGTTGCCACCCACTGCCTGCATCACCCATCCCGACCAGCCCCAAATCATGGGATGTGATCCCCCAGATTCTGGCTGCTTGGGGCATTGCTGCCATAGGGGGTCTGCTGTCTGGGTCCGGACAGGGGCCATCCCTGTCCCTATGGGGTGCTTCTATGGGATGTGCCCACGCTGCAGCCCGCATGTTGGGATTACTCTGTGCTGTGCTGAATTGCTGCGGTGTGCCCCTTCGTGTGGCCATCCTGCACTCTGCACCAAACCAGCACTGCTGAACGCAGGCAGTGCTGCATCCACATCCCTGCACAGAAGGGGCTCCTGGCTTCGTGGTTCTGCTTAAAGGCATCATTGTAGGTCTTCCTTGCTCCTCTGCTCCTCCTCAAAGAGTGCAGCAGAGCAGAGCTCTGGTCTGGGCATTGCTGGGAGATGGGAGGGAGCGACTGCAGCTGGCAGGAGGTGCAGGAGGTGCAGTCCTGGTGCCGTGTTCAGCGATATCTGTCCCACGGAGAGCTGGAGGTTGTGCGTGGGTGCCATGGGGTGGTTGTGCAGACACTGCAGGGCTGCAGGAACTGTTCTGGTGCTTGGAACGATGGCAGCGTGTGAACTGAGTTCAGTGCGTGGTGGCACTTTGGGGATGTGGGCCGTGACCAAAGATGGCTGGGGCAGGAGACCTCGTAGCACAGCGAGCCCCGTTTGGTTGTGCTGCTCCTCCGGGATGCGTGATGTGTGCCCCAAATCCCTGGGAGGGCTGCAGCTTAGGCTGCAGAGGGCCTGGAGCTGCATGGCTGCCCGGTGGCTTTCATCCATCTGCACAGCCAGACAGATTTGGGGGATCGGATCCCAGGTTTGCTGGGAGCAGGTGAGGTGGGCAGGGGCTGCCAGCACTGTGCCATCACTCTCCTTCCTCTAAACCAAAATCGATGCGGCTCGACTCCGCGCTCCTGGCTCAGCTCCTGGCTCTGCCCCAGGAGCCGTCGTCTGCCTTCTCCTCCTATTGATTGGAGACACCGCAGCTCCATGGCACGGCACGGAGCGTCCCGGCATGGGCAGAGCAGCACCAACACGGCCGCACCAAGCCTTCGCGGTGCCAACCTGGTGCGCAGCCGGCTGCTTGGGATGGCTCTGCCCCAGCGCCTTCTGTTGCCCTATTTAGAGCAGCCAGCATGGCGTGGGGAGCGGGCTGGGATGGGCAGCGCCTGTCAGCAGTTGGGGAGGGTTGGTGGTGGTTTGGGGAGGGTTGGTGGTGGTTAGCAGCTCTCCATGGTGTCATTGCGTGGGAGCTGAGGGCACTGCAACAACACTTCTCTGCAGCACAGGGCTGTGTCTGTGCTGCTGCACCAGGAGGGCTGCTCCCAGCGCCCCATGGCCTCTGCAGGTGCCTCGGAGCCATCTCTGCTTTGCTTCCCTGCTAATTAGCCATGCAGCTGCCTTCCGTGGGGTCTCAAAGCGCTGAGGAGCCAAATGCTTTCACAGGGCAGGAGAAGAGCAGCTGCTGTGACGGCGCTGCAGCAGCTCCAGGGATTGCTGTCTGCAGCCCACACTGCATCCTGCTGGGCAGGGGACAGCTGGGACAGCTGAGCCCTGCAGGGACCCTGAGAGAAGCCCTGGGATGGCAGATGCACCATGTGCAGCTCAGAGCTGCCTGCTTTGGAACCGTGCACTTGCCACTTGTTTTTACCTCCCTGTGTACTTTTTGAATCCCATCCCCTCAGCACTCCCAGCCCCTTCCCTTGGGCTCAGTGTGGGCCGGGGCTGTGGGGTGTGATCTTCACCCTCCAGCTCCATGCATCCATCGACCTTCAACTGTTCCAGATGTGTGTGCTGCACTGATGGGAGCTGCAGCAGCGCTGGGCAGAGGGAGCAGCGCGTTCCGGCTGGGGGACGTCCTGAGCCATTAATCTGGTGGCCAAATGATGGATGAAGGCTACCTTTAAGACTGTATTTAACTGCTCTGCATCTCCGGGCTCTGCTTTCAATAGCACAGAGGCTGTGATGGAGGAGCAGGGTCCTTGCTCAAAGCAGCACTTCCAGCGCAGCCGCTCCCTGCGTGGGATTGTGCCGCATCTCGGCTGGGATTGGTGCTGGCAGCCCCAGCAGAGCCCTCTGCAGCTCACGCTGTTCCCCCCCCATGACAGTCCTCGTTGTTTGCCTCCGTTTCCCTCTGTGGGATGTGCTGTGTGGCTGGAGCCCATCTTTGGGTCACCCTGGGACAAGGCACAGCCACTGCGTGAACCCGAGCGCAGCGAATCGCGGCTCCTGCAGCCGGCCGTCCAGGCGTGCCGCCTCTAATTGCTGCCTCAGCTTCGTTAATCATGATTAGCTGCTGTTTTCTGCCCTTCCGCATGTCCCCACACCTCTGTCTGGTTCTGGTCCTTGTGGTCCCGGGCAGCCCCCACTTCTTGCTCATGCACCCTGTTTTGCCCTGGGAGGCTGTGATAGGGATGGCTGCAGCCCCGTCCCTCTTCCTGTCCATATATCCCCATCCCTTTCCCTCCATGCCAAGGGCAGTGGGGACTGTGGTGCTGCTGTGCCTGGGGGCTGTTGCACTGGGAAAGCTCTGGTCCCCTTTTTCACTTGCGGAGGGTTGAAGCTGTGTATGGGAATGGGAGCAATGAAGGGATCACTGGAAGGATTTCCTGAGCCCAAACTGCAGCTGGATGCAGAACTTCCCCAGTGTCGGCACGGAGGAATCCCAGGGGGATCCATGGGGGTTTGCAGGGTGAGGGTGAGAGCCTGCGGTGCTGCTGGTGCTGTACCCCCATCTGCTCTTGGGCCAAGGGCGAGGGGAGATGGGTGTGAATGGAATGCACAGGAGACAGAGCGGCAGGGGGGTGAGGGAGCTGCTGTCCCCCCCACGACAGCTTTCCTTCAAATGGACAGAAAACAGAAAGAAAAAATGTGCAAGAGAAAAAAATAAAACCAGCAAGCAACACACAGACCTGAGCCCTGCAGCGCTGCATTGCAGTGCCTTTGCTGCACCTGCACTGCACTGCACTGCACGGGGAGGGGACACCGTGGGGTGGTGGCAGAGGGGGGACGTGGGGATGCCCGGGGCTCACGGTGTGAAAAAGCAATACCAAAAGCGATGGAAAATGTCACCCTTAGGGCTGTGCAGAGTCCCCCTCTGTGCATGGCCAAACTCTTTGACATCGCACACGGATGTGCACACAGGTGCAGGCTGCCTCCTCCTCCTCCTCCTCCCACTTGGCTGCACTTCCTTGCACCGTGCTGCAACCCATGGCTGTGGCATTGCAGGAAGGACGGGTGGCACTGATGGTGGCACTGATGGGTGCAGTCAAGGAAGGGCTGCTCGCCCCCGGATCCTCACCTCTCTGACATGGTTTCTGGCGTTTCCATAACAGATGGGCAGAAATGTGTGCATCAGCAGTTTGGAGAGAAAGTCATCCCGTGGAGAGCAGAGCGGGGCTGCTGCTGCTGCTGCTGTAGGACCTCTGAGGGGGAGGAAGGGTTTGGGGGCTGAGTGGGAGCTCCTGAGCTGAACACGTCCTGGTGCAGCTCCAAGGGGAGCACTGGGGGCTGCAGGAGGTGCTCAGAGCCTCAGGCAGGCTTGGTGCAAGCAGGGCTCACTGCAGGCATTGCTCAGCTGCAGGCATTGCTCAGCTGCAGGCATTGCTC